TTAATCTACCGATTATCCACTTGCCCTCTGAAAGATTTACCCCCCCTTCATGACCAGCCAATTTTTTGCGATACGGAGTTATGTTATTTTGACAATTGCACAGTCATGCAACGCTGTACATAAATAAAATTTATGTCATTTTCCCCCCACAAATAAAGCTTTATTTTGGTAGTATTTGATCACCTCTATCTTATTTTTTTTGTGCTATAAACAACAATTACAGTGAAGGAAATAAGTATTTGATCCCCTGCTGATTTTGAATGTTTGCCCACTCACAAAGAAATGATCAGTCTAAAAATCGAATGGTAGGTGTATTATAACACTGAGAGACAGAAAAGCAACAAAAAATTCAAAAGAAATGCATGTCTAACAAATTATGCACTGATTTGCATGTTCATGAGGGAAATAAATATTTGATCCCCTTCACAAAACAGGATTTAGTACTTGGTGGCAAATCCTTTGTTGGCAATCACAGAGGTCAGATGTTTCCTGTAGTTGGCCACCAGGTTTGCGCACATCTCAGGAGGGATTTTGGCCCACTCCTCTTGGCAGATCCTCTCCAAGTCATTAAGGTTTGGTGGCTGATGTTTGGCAACTTGAACTTTCAGCTCCTTCCACAGATTTTCAATTGGATTAAGGTCTGGAGACTGGCTAGGCCGATCCAGGACCTTAATGTGCTTCTTCTTGAGCCACTCCTTTGTTGCCTTGGCCGTGTGTTTTGGGTCATTGTCATGCTGGAACACTCATCCACGACCCATTTTCAATGCCCTGGCTGAGGGAAGAAGGTTCTCATCCAAGATTTGACGGTACATTGCCCCACCCATCGTCCCTTTGATGCTGTGCAGTTATCCTGTTCCCTTAGCAAAAAAACACCCCGAAGCAGAATGTTTCCACCACCATGTTTGACAGTTGGGATGGTGTTCTTGGGGTCATAGGCAGCATTCCTCCTTCTCCAAACATGGCGAGTTGAGTTGATGCCAAAAAGCTCGATTTTGGTCTCATCTGACCACAACAGTTTTAACCAGTCCTCCTCTGCATCATTCAGATGTTCAGTGGCAAACTTCAGACGGGCCTGGACATGTCTTTTCTTGAGCAGAGGGTCCTTGCGGGCACTGCAGAAATTTCAATCCTTGTCAGCGTAGTGTGTTACCAATTGTTTTCTTGGTGACTGTGGTCCCAGCTGCCTGGAGATCATTGACAAGATCCTCACGTGTAGTTCTGGGATGATTCCTCACTGTTCTCATGATCATTGACACTCCACGAGGTGAGATCTTGCATGGTGCACCAGACCTAGGGAGACTGACAGTTGTTTTGTTTCTTTCATTTGCGAATGATTACACCAACTGTTGTCACCTTCTCACCAAGCTGCTTGGCGATAGTTTGGTAGCCCAGTCCAGCCTTGTGTAGGTCTACAATCTTGTCCCTGACATCCTTGGGCAGCACTTTGGTCTTGACCATGGTGGAGAGTTTGGAATCTGATTGTTTGATTGTGCCAGTGGACAGGTGTCTTTTATACAGGTAACAAAATGAGATTAGCAGCACTCCCTTTAAGAGACTGCTTCTAATCTCAGCTTGTTACCTGTATGAAAGACACCTGGTAGCCAGAAATCCTGCTGAATGATAGGGGATCAAATATTTATTTCCCTCATGAATATACAAACCAGTGCAAAATTTGTTAGACATGCATTTCTTTTGAATTTTTTGTTGCTATTCTGTCTCTGTTACAATACACCTACCATTCGATTTTTAGACTGATCATTTCTTTGTGAGTGGGCAAACATTCAAAATCAGCAGGGGATCAAATACTTATTTCCTTCACTGTAATTAGACATTAATGGCTGTGTATTGAGTTATTTTGAGGGGAAAGCAAATTTACACTGTAATACAAGCTGTACACTGACTACTTTACATTGCAGAAAAGTGTCATTTCTTCAGTGTTGTCACATGAAAATATATAACGAATAAAATATTTACAAAAATGTGAGACATAAGACATGTTGTCTGTCATGTTAAGATAATAATCTACTGCGGACATGCCATCTACATGGTTTATGTTGCTGTATAAAGAGGCAACATCTGCAGTATCCAGAAAAGTTAAAATGTCAGGATTCCATGTGAGGTTCTTAGTCTCATTTAGTACTTGTTTTGTGTCCTTAAGGTAAGAAGGCGTAGTTAGGACTAGAGGTTGTTGGTAATGATCTATATACTGACCTATTCTGGAGCACAAAGACCCTATCCCACTTACTATGGGTCTTCCAGGGGGGTGGGTAGGAAAGTCCACAGAGCAGCTTTATGCTGCATGTATCTATTTTATAAGGATTACATTGTCATTTAACACCAATCCTTTACCCATGGGAATTATCTGCTTACGTGTGTTCATTTTCATTTTTAATAATAATTAATAAATTCATTTTTTTATATAATACTACACTATGGGCACTATTTTTTGCTCCACCCTGAGCACTTAATCCCCCAGGATCCCCAGATGATCATCCCAGGGCCCAGAGGAGAGAAATCTAAAGTAGACCCCCATCGCAGATAACCCTTAAAGGGGACCTCTAGAAGTGCCTTTCCATTGCCCTTATCCACAGAAGAGGTATTCATTCCAGGCTGCATCCTTCCCGAGACAGAGGGGACCTCTGGCTTATTTGATAAATGTGCATTTATATTGCGCCTCTGGCGAGTGTGCAGTCTTACCATTTTCCCTTCACGGCACCAGATCACGTGTGTCACTGGGAGTAGAGAAGTCGCCTGTCCAGCTTATTGCTTTCCTGTATCTACTTCACTTCCAGCACTCATTGGACATTTATTATTACATTTGGTTATTTATAGCACACGGTTGTTGGTATACATTATTTCACATTTGATACAGACATATATATATATATATGTCACTATTCTGTTATTTTATTCTATGCTTTACCAGCAATCTTACCATGAAATTTTAGCCTCATGCATTTGCATCATATATATTTTCAGATTTTATTTAGCACTGCACTACACATTTTATATTTCTTTTCCATGTGGTGCCATTGCTGACAGCAGGAAATGGGAAGGGTTTTTTTTTTTTAGTTAAGTAATGCCCTTTTATAATCAACTGTCTGTTGGACACTTGTTTAATGAATAATTAGAGTCACCTGTAGTTGAATTCTTGTTAATTAGGATTTTTGTCTAAAATTTAGCTTTGTCCCTAAGAGTTTTTCATGTGCAAATGAACAAATCTTATTTGCAATCAATGGTCTGCATTTGTGGGAGTATTTTGTAGTATAGTGTCCCCTAGAAAATGTTGATTCTGAAAGGAAAGGTTTTCGGAAAAAAATTTGTTGGGGTGTACTCATTTATGTTGAGCACTGTGTGTGTGTGTGTGTGTGTGTGTGTGTGTGTGTGTGTATATATACACACACACACACACACACACACACACACACACACACATACATATATATATATATATACACACACATACACACATATACATACACACACACAGTATATATATCAGCACCTGTGGTAGTGAGCTCTATGGATCCTCAACTTGGGGTTCCCCAGGGTGCGGAGTCTAAGTCCCAGCCTGCTTGTTCACCAGAGCCCCTGATGGTGGGGATGGACTTGCAGCAAGCTGGGACCAGGTCACGGCCCCCAGGTACACCCAGCTGAGGTGGAGGAGACCACTCGCGGGAGCAGAGTATATCGGGAGAAGACAAAGGGAATCCAATAGGCAATCCGAGGTCAGGACAGGCGGAAAACAAGCAAGGTCGGAGAACAAAGCCGGGGTCGGTACACAAGTAGACAATATAGGATACGGACAGCAGACACACACGGGAGCTCCAACAACTAAGCCGTTGCTCAGGCAAAGTGGCCTAGTCTGAGCACATCTTATATAGACAGGCAGATAAGGAGGCGGGACAGGAAGTGATGGAAAGGAAGGAAATAAAACCCAGAGGACAGCAGAAGAGGCCCATAGATGAGCACAAACACATGAGAAGGGATCAGGAACAGGACTGCAGCAAGAAGGTAAGAACACAAACGAAACTCCAGAATAACTTGTGAGTGTGTGTGTGTGTGTGTGTACGTGTATATCAGCCCTAAAGTACTGACTGCCTGCCACATTTATTAAGACCCTAAAATGCCAGTACAAACACTCCCAAAATGACCCATTTTTGTAAAGAAAGAAGACAGCTCAAGGTATTTAGTAAGAGGCATGGATAAAATTTTAAGCTGTAATTTTTCTACCTCATGTTTTGGAAAATGAAGAAAATAAATTTTCTTCATTTTCCAAAACAGGAGAAATTACCCCAGTTTGCAAAGTAGACCACATCCAACATATTTAATCATACTTATGAGGAGTCTTTAAGTTCACATTTTTTGCTTCAAGTTTTTGAAAAATTTAGAAAGCAAATTGTATTTTTTTTTTTTTTTTTACATAGCTGTCAGTTAAGATATTTCTCAAACACAACATGAGCATACTTTGTCAGACTCTTTTCCAGCTTAGCCACATAATTAGGTCTAGAATAAAAAAAAAAACCCACACCTTCAAGTGCTCAAGAAGCATAAATTAGGCATCTAATTTCCTGACTATCCATCACAATTTGGGCTGCCCTAGAGTGCTAGGACAATAGAAACACACATACACAAAATTACCACATTTTAATTTTTGTGCTCAAGCTTTTGGAAAATGCAGAAAGAAAATGAAAATTAATTTATTACAGAAAGTTTTAAATTAACCTCTCTGGCGGTATTCCCGAGTGTAGCTCGGGGTAAAGTTTCAGTACCACAAGTGGTAACCCCGAGCTACACTCGGGCTTACCATGCGGCACTGCTCCGGGATCCCTCGATCACTTACCTTGTCCTGCGCTCCCGCGATGTCCCTCCTACAGTGTCCCCGGAAATGTAATCCGGCCGATGCCGACATCTGTCATGTGGGTTCCGTCCCCTGCGACGTCGGAACGTACAGGGACGGAACGGCGGGAAATTTGAAAATGACAAAAAGTGACATTCACAAAATTAACATAGTAAAACATTACTGTATCAAAGCATTTCACATACATTTTGTCCCGAGTGCTTTATCCTGTGCCCTGCCTGCATTTTTACTGTTCTTTCTGCCTGGAAACTGAGAAACGTCCATGGCGTTTAAAAAGCATCCCTTTAGGTCAAAAGCGGTTTTAGACCAGCTAGAGAACAGCGATAGTAAATTCGAACTACTTGCAGAATTGAGTGATGATTTGTGGGGAAATTTGTCATCAGACAATGAAAAGGATTCTGCGACTAAGGTCAGTGATGCGCTAACTTGGAGCTATATTTCAAATTTGTGTTTTTGGTTTGATTATATTATTAAATGAAATGTATATTTTTTTTATGATTATTTATGAACTTATAATTTATGATTTCGGGTTTCAAATTTTAACATACCCGAGATGTTTACTAGACTCTTGTGCGGACAGGTTTTAGTGAGTAATTCCTAAATATTACAGGCCTACAATAAAAAAATACATATTTCCATGCAAAAAAAATGTTTGCTTTGCTTTGAGCACAGAAATATGGACATAATCAGACCACCAGGGAGGTTAATCAAAATATTTCTACCAAAAACACATTCTGCTACTCCTGAGTGTAGCTTTGCTGTGTGGTAGAAAAAAATTATTAATTTTCTTTCTGCATTTTCCAAAAGCTGTTGTGGCAGGATGTGTTTTTGGATGTAATTCCAAGTATGCCCATACTGCATTGTAATAATATCTTAATTTACAAGTTTGAGTAGAAAAAAAAAATGTTTTTCAATTTCTTCTCATAAATGCAGATAAAACAAACTTCTGTGCAAAAAGGTGACACAAAAAACTGAGCAAAAGCAAGACACAATATAACTTCTGTCAATGCAATGACTCCACATTTTTTTATTCTATAGAGCTTTTACATAAATTATAGGTGGGAAACTACAATACAAAAAAGTTAGACATTTATAAATTTATTTTACACATGGCACCAACAAACCCTGCAGCAATTTGGACACTGAATATTCACATCAACCCCTGCTCTACATAAAGACCAATGCAAACTGCAATCTAATATCTATAAAACTTAAAGCAGTTGTACATTATGTCCAGTTTGGGTTAAAGATAATGAAGCCATCTTTTATCTGGAAAAAAAAAAAAATTCTAGACTTGTACTGGCTAATATATAAATATATATATATATATATATATATATATATATACACACACACACACACACATACATATACACACACACACACACACACACACTAACTAAACAACCTATTTGGAAATTTACTGTTAATGAAAGTATCTACCTAAATCTGGAGTCAGCTGTGATTTGCAAACAATAATGGTTTTTATACAGTTGATAATATTTTTATACAAGACTCCTCGACGAAAGTAATTCTCTGCTCGGATTATGGTTTACTGTGTTTCTCCCAGTTTTTTTTTTTTACAAGACTGGGGGACTGATCAAGGGGATGCAGGAGGAATACCGTCCCACTTAGAACTCAGTATGAAGTTGGAGGAATCCATGTGTCATCTTCAACAAAAACACAACAGACAAACCTGTGCAAGGAATATTGCTAAAAGTTTGTAATGTATGTAAATGATTTCCTCATAAGCCCATTGTGCTGTTGATTTTCATGGTCTTATTCCTTGATATGACTCATTTTAGGATATGTGTTCATAAAATCAATCTCAATGCCTTTGGGACTATGGTTAACAAATGTGATTTTAAGGTTACTTTTATGTGTCCTTGGCTCTTGTATTTTACATAAAGATTTTATTTAAAAAAAAAAAAAAAAAAAATTAGTATAAATTGAATTTGTACTATATTTCATTACAACCTTTACCTTTGTCTGTTACATTTATGTATTGAGGGTCTGAGTATCTGAATTTATAAGTTGTACGTTCAGAATTCTCGCACTGAATTGCATATAGCATCCCATGATTAAAAAAAATATATATATTCACCTAGGTGGATGCAACATTGATCTGATGCTGCATCTGTCCCTCGCCAGCTCTGCAGTGAGGACTAAGCAATCAAACACGCCAACCACTCAGTTCCCCCTCCACTATGAGCAAGGAGCCATGACTGACAGTCTCCGGCTCACTGTTCTGCTCCTCCAGAGCTCATTGGAGCTGGGCTGTGGAGGGGGCTTGCTCAGGTTCTCGGTGGATCACTGAGAAGCCGCGTCAGGTGCTGGTGCAGGCTTCAGGGTGGATCCTGACCATATAGTTGAGATTTTTTTTTTAGAGACCCTGGACTGGCTGAGGGGTGTCTAGTTTAGGCTGAAAACAGGTCACAGGAGTGCAGAACAAACTGCACTCCTATGACCAACAGTAGAAGTATAGCCAAAATAGCTTTGGCTATATTTCTCCTTTAATTCCTCATGCACACTAGGTGTTTTAAAAACGCTGGTAGCATTAGCTGTATAAAGTCACATTAAAAACACAAGTTCCTCCACTTTTAGTAGCGTGTTTGCATTAGCATTTAACTACGTTGAGTTGCACTTGCATTTTTTTTTTTTTTTTACACAAAAATATAAATACATTTTTTGCTCAAAAAATGCAGGTTTGCCATGTATTTCCGCATTTACCAGCATTAGAGCATTTTTACAGCTAAAATACTCCTCTAGAAACTCACTAGTTCTGAGGTTTTTTTCCAGGCAAAAAACGCCCCTGCCAAAAGACGTTGATTAAAGCTTATGGGGTCAATTCACTAAGCGATAAATACCGCGTGCATTTTCGAGTTAAAAATAACTCAAGGGGTAGTTCTTTCAAAAGTAGTCAATTCACTAAAAAACATGCGTTATTTACCAAATGCGTTAAATATTCATGTTTTGCGATATTTAGCACTTACATTTTGCACTATTTTTGGTGTTTTTTCACAATTTTTTTTTGGTGGCTAACATTGCACCAGAATGCACACAGCAATACTGTGAAACTATGAAAACATTGCATTGTGCTTTCATTCACAAAGTGATTTCCCTCTGATGAAATGTCACAATTTATTTTCATTCCTGTGCTCAGGGTAGAACATTGTTACACTGATACATTGTATACTTTTCACTTTCTGGCCAGTGCAGAGTTCCAGTTATTTTGTACATTTCTAAAATACTGCCAGCAAACACCAGGTAATAAATACATACGGTGTGTGTTTTTTAATGAAATGACTTTTGATTTATCTCATTTTTTGCGGCATTTATCTCTGCATTTTAACAAATGAGCAGTATTTACCCAACATTCAATATTTTACTTTGATGAATTGACTCTTATTATCTCATGTGATATTTCAGAAACATGAGTCACGTGATCTTCATATTGCATGCGGTAACCTTTAGTGAATTGACCCCATTGTGTGCATGGACACATAGGATAACATGCTGGTGAGTTTACTGGCTGTAGAAAAAAAAAATGCCAAAACCCAAAAACAGCAGCTGTAAAAAAACGCTCAGTGTGCATGAGAACTAACAATTAGATCATTCACTTTACTTAGCATTACTGAGGATATAAAGATAATGAGACAAAATAAAACAGAAATATGTAATCCATGCCAACTCAAGTAACATTAAGATGGTTAGATCTATAATAAAAACAACCTTGCACTAGACTAACTAATGTCAGACTGCACTTTGGAAACCCTGAATACCGGATTCTAAACATAAAAAGAGAAAACAAAAATAGCACGGTCTCTTTAAAAATGATTACATCACTCAAACTAATACGTGACCCATATTGTGAACAACTCTCAGCATGCTAAAATTGCTGTGCAACATCTAAAGCAATAATGTTCAAAATAAGCAATAATCTCACAGAAAAAGAACCCTACCAAATATACTGTGCAAAAAGCAGATATGTGCAAAATGAACTGTGTCAAAAATAAAGTGCATACAGCCAGTATGCAAACCTACTGAAAATATTGCTGTGCAAAATATGCAATAGTGGATAACCGTCAATATACATATTCAGCAACTCTGTCCCTACCACAGGGCTATGTGTTCTGATCTCTGCTCTGCCAAACACTCCTCAGTAATGATATACATTAGATGAAAAAAAGGAGAGGTCTCATAGAGCAATATGTATTAACTCTAGTTTTAATGAAAGGTCATAAACAATTGAGTACTGTCCGTGATACTTTTTTTTATTTGCACTAAGATACAATTTTGAGGACAAGCTTTCGGGGTATGTCCCCTTCTTCAAAGTCCAAGCAGTACTGCTTGGACCTTGAAGAAAGGGACATACCCCGAAAGCTTGTCCTCAAAATTGTATGTTAGTGCAAATAAAAAAAGTATCACGGACAGTACTCAATTGTTTCTGTCACAAATGCACTAATACGGCTACAATCACCTCAAGCAATGAAAGGTCATAAAACTTACAAACGCAAGAAGAATCAAGCGGTATGTAAAATCATAAAGCGGTCACAGGACACTCCAGCGCACCCATATGCAACAACATCACTGCCTTAACTCTTGCTGGGTATTATCATTCTAATGGCAGTAGTCGCCTGCTGTGTGATCCCTTGCATTAAAAGGCGAATAGGAAAAGCTGTGAACGAGATCTCCCCTACATTCCTGAACTATAACAATGTTGAACTCCCCATGAAGAAAGGGAATCCTATACTCCCTTACAGACCGTGGCCCCTGACCATCATATTTCAGACTTATAAAAAAGAGGGAATGCTACAATTTCCCCCCTTAACAGACAGGTGTGCTAGGCCCAGAGTCAACATGGCTTCCGGTGGCCCCACGTTGGGCGCCAAAATGTTTTGGACTCTGTCACAGACCATTTACCGTGATCTACCAGTGAGCCAAATTAATATAGAATTACGTGCACGTGGAAGAAAGACACTGACACTGTTGCAGTTTGCCAACTTCCTAAAATTCAGTTTTATTGAGGAACTAACAGTATCATTTATAGGGCTTATGATGCAGGCAAAGCATATACATTGATTGGGTGAAAGTCCACTGGGTTTCTGAGTGTTTTTCCATCCGTGTTGATATCTTCCAATCATTGTCCCCAAAAAGACTCATTCCCTTTTATGGGGGTTGTTTACA